TCTTATTGTCTATGCTACTAATATATCCTTATATTATGAGTTTCAAAGCATTTCATCAAAAATGTAAAAAGTTACGCCGATATCAACTAAATCGTCATTTTTCGTGTTGCACGTGCGCGCTCTTGCAAGCACGTGCGCGCAAAATGACCTTTGTTCGGCAAATCTACATAACATGTCTACTGACCCTAAAAACATTTTACCTTACTCGGATGTGTAGTTTACAAGATCACTCGAGGACAAAATTTTCCCAGGAATAACTAGTGCTAATTGTAACGGGAACCGTTACAGATGTTCCCCAAACGCTCCCCAACTCCCTTTTGGTGCCATATTCCCTGTAAGCCTTATTAAATAAGACAACATCTGTGCATTTTTGACTTTAACAACGTTTTTCCCAAAAGGATACCAATTATATTCAAATTTTAACATTGCACCCGTGCCCATGTGAATGCACGTGCATAATGATCATATAATCTTGTCTACACTTTCTATATATTTAAATATACTTTATATTAAAGCATTTAGTCCAAAAGTATTAAAAATCACTCATTCAAGTGTATTTTTAATTTCACTCGTTCCAAATGCACGCACGTGCGTGCACGTGCATGATGACCATACCTTCTTGTTAGAGGCCCTTATATCTATCTATGTTCTAAATCCCATCCTGTTTGGTTGAAAGCCAAGGGAATTATAGCCATTTCAAGTTTCAGCCAATCAGATTGCAGCACACGTGCATCCACGTTATTTCAAGATTTTTTTCCTAAATCATATTGTAGAATATCCTAATGCATGACTATGTTTTAAATTTCAAAGCATTTCATCAAAAATCAAAGGAGATATAGCCATTTAAAGTTTCAGCCAATCAGATTGCAGCACACGTGCATGCGCGTGATTTCTTGAAATTTTTTATATATCATATTGCAGGATGTCCTAATGCATGACTATGTTTTAAATTTCAAAGCATTTCGTCAAAAAACAAAGGAGATATAGCCATTTAAAGTTTCAGCCAATCAGATTGCAGCGCACGTGCATGCACGTGATTTCATGAAATTTTTTCCATATCATGTTGTAGGATATCCTAATTCATGACAATGTTAAAAATTTCAAAGCATTTCGTCGGAAAACAAAAGAGATATTGAGATTTTTGTTTCAGCCAATCAGAGCAAGGCGCACGTGCATGCGCGTGAGTTCGTGCTAATTTGACAGTGTCATATTATTAACACTATTAATATATCCTTATGTAATGAGTTTCAAAGCATTTCATCAAAAAATGTAAAAGTTATAGCTATATTAAGTATATCAGTCAATTCACTCATTTCACGCGCACGCACGTGCAGGCGTATGCGCGCAAAATGACCTTCGTTCCGCACACCTACACTACACACCTATTAACCCTAAAAAGGTTTTAGGTCAGTTGGGTGAACAGTTTCTGAGAACACTCGCGGACAAAAAAGTACCGGAGAACAAATAAGAAAAAAAATAATAATAATAATAATAACTAGAAACGATCTCGTTGCGAGCAACGAGAGGTCTTCCGTCCGATTCTGAAATAAAAAACGAAAAATCTAGCTGAAAAAGTCATAGAAAAATATCGGTCACACGGGGGATCGAACCCGGGTCGCCCGAGTGGAAATCCAACGCGTTAACCATTATGCCATCGGGAACGCCGCTTCAAATTTTTAAATGCGAATATCTCGAGATTGGCTTTTTCGTTTTTAAAACAAATTACACATTTTGCATTCTATAAAGAGTCTTTATTACCCCTATTAAAATCAAAGAAAAATAATGAAAAACAAAAAAGTTGATAATTTTGACTTTTTTAATTCGCTTCCGGTAGCGACCGGAAGTACTGACGACACACGAAAAGGACATTCCGCATATCTAGAAGTCATGCCCTATGTTCTCCAACAAGTCTCCAGTTCATATCTTTAGTAGTTCTTTAGATCTCGAACTGACAAAATTTCATTTTAAAATCAGAAAAATGGCCATAACTTGGCACCGGAAGCGAATTGTTCCAAAATTCTTCCAAATGTAACAATGGCATATGAGGGCGCATCATCCCTGAAAGTTTGATGAAAAACGAATGAATAGTTCTTGAGATATCGCGTGCACAAAATTTGTCTAAAAAATAAGAATAATAATAATAATAACTAGGGCTAATTGTAACGGGGACCGTTACAGATGTTCCCCAAACGCTCCCCAACTCCCTTTTGGTGCCATATTCCCTGTAAGCTCTATTAAATAAGACATACTTTATGCAATTTAGACAAACAACGTTTTCCAAGAAGAATACAAAATATATTTAAATCTTAGCATTGCACACGTGCTCATGTGAATGCATGTGCGTAATGACCATTTCATCTTGTATACACTATCTATATATTTTAATATACTTAATATCAAAGCATTTAATCCAGAAGTATTAAAAAATACACTCATTTAAGCGTATTTTTAATTTTACTCATTTCACGTGCACGTACGTGCAAGCATGTGCATGATGACCATACCTTCTTGTAGGAGTTCATTTTGTCTATCTATATTCTAAATCCCATCCTGTTTGGTAGAAAAACAAGGGAGTTATAACCATTTAAAGTTTAAGTCAATCAGATTGCTTCAGGCACGTGCATGCGCGTGTTTTCATGATAATTGTTATATATCCTATTGTAGGACATCCTAAAGTATGCCTATGTTTTAAATTTCATCGCATTTCGTCAAAAAACAGAAAAGATACTGAGATTTTTGTTTCAGCCAATCAGAGCAAAGCGCACGTGCATGCATGTGCATGATGACCATACCTTCTTGTAGGAGTTCATTAAGTCTGTCTATATTCTAAATCCCATCCTGTTTGGTTGAAAAACAAGGTAGTAATAGCCATTTAAAGTTTTAGCCAATCAGATTGCAGCGCACGTGCATGCGCGTGTTTTCATGACAACTGTTATATATCATATTGTAGGACATACTAAAGTATGCCGATGTTTTAAATTTCATAGCATTTGGTCAAAAAACAGAAAAGATATTGAGATTTTTGTTTCAGCCAATCAGCGCGAAGCGCACGTGCATGCGCGTGAGTTCGTGCTAATTTGACAGTTTCACGTTATCTACACTATCAAGATATCTTTATATAATGAGTTTCAAATCATTTCATTAAAAAATGTAAAAGTTATAGCTATATTAAGTATATCAGTCATTTCACTCTAATCACGCGCACGCACGTGCATGCGTATGCGCGCAAAATGACCTTCGTTCCGCACACCTACACTACACACCTATTAACCCTAAAAAGGTTTTAGCTCAGTTGGGTGAACAGTTTCTGAGAACACTCGCGGACAAAAAAGTACCGGAGAACAAAGAAGAAAAAAAAGAATAATAATAATAATAATAATAAGAAACAGAGTAAAAACAATATGTTCCCAAACTCCGTTTGGGGAACATAATAATAAGAAACAATAGAATCACTATAAGGTCTTCCGTGAAGACGGAAGACCTTAATAAGAAACAGAGTAAAAACAATATGTTCCCAAACTCCGTTTGGGGAACATAATAATAATAAGAAGAAGAAACAGAGTAAAAACAATATGTTCCCCAACTTCGTTTGGGGAACATAATAAGAAACAGAGTAAAAACAATATGTTCCCCAACTTCGTTTGGGGAACATAATAATAATAAGAAACAGTAGAATCACTATAAGGTCTTCCGTGAAGACGGAAGACCTTAATAAGAAACAGAGTAAAAACAATATGTTCCCAAACTCCGTTTGGGGAACATAATAATAATAAGAAGAAGAAACAGAGTAAAAACAATATGTTCCCCAACTTCGTTTGGGGAACATAATAAGAAACAGAGTAAAAACAATATGTTCCCCAACTTCGTTTGGGGAACATAATAAAAGTAACCCATCGTCCCTGGGTGGGCTCGAACCACCAACCTTTCGGTTAACAGCCGAACGCGCTAACCGATTGCGCCACAGAGACAGGTGATCGCTAATCTAAAATTGAAACGACAAAATAACTAGACATTTGCTTACAGGTGTAGTTGGCCATGTGTAATTTCACCCGTTGATCAGGTATATAATCGAGCTCATACAATCCAAAAATTAATCTTGAACAGTTTTTGAAATTTGTTACAATTTATTTTTTTTTTCCTTACTTGTAATTGTGAAAGAAGATTACAAATTTAGTGAGTTAATTGTTTTTTGTTTTTTTTTTTATTTCAGTGTTAGGATGTTTTGTGAACCATTTTCAAAATTCTCGGGATTTATTTTTTTTCAACAAGACATATCACTCTTAGATACACAGCAAACACATTGAAAATAATTCGTTTTTTTTCTAATTATCATGATTATGTTGTTATAATTTGTTCCAGAGATAGACCTTTTTGAAAGATTATTTTCAAGGTGTAAACTCTTTTGTTTATATTTTTATCAATCTTTTATATCATATTTTATTCTTGATGATAAATCTTCGGGAAAGAAATAACCCTCTGAAATTCAAAAATCTAAACACATCTGTTTCATATTTAGATGCCTTAAAGAAGTTAATGGTAACCTGACAACAAAACATATTGATAAAGGTGATGACTTCAACTTTTCCATCATCAACTCCCCTTATTTATTTAGCACAATGCCCTTATTACATGCATGTTGATCGAGTTTATGTCTCGAGCTCACAGTTGGTTTGATACGCAAGAATATGATAGACAAACAAGTTGAAACAATAATTTCAACAGTCTTACTTAAAGTCAACATTTTGCACGTACTATGGACAATAAAATGTCATTGTCAGCAAAAATAATAGCACAGGAGTTAGCGTACCCATCCATTTTACAGATTTTTTTAGTAAACAAAAAAAATACATATCTTTAGTAATACAATGTAATACCTTTACGTATTTTTTTTCTTTACTAAAAATTTCGGCAAAAAATAATTGGTGCGCGAACTCCTGTGGTTTATAGCTATGATGATTCTACCACTTTTAAATACAAAACTTCAGATCCCTTGGGGAAAAAAAATGGGGAAACGTCGAACAAATTTCAATTTGGCAACACTACATGCATGCATAACAGGACTAAACCAATTAGGAGCATGAAACTGTTCATGAAATAAGATTTATTGCATATGTAGTAAGATGAATTAAAGATTGAATGTCCCTCCACTTTACGTGTTGCTTCTATTTGATTGTTTGTTTCTAAGTTTACATTCCTCTGCCTTCTTTTTTCTCCAGTCACAAACAGAATTGAAGTCACATCTCTGACATTTCCACGCCTCTTCTATCTCCACTCCCATCGCTTCTCTGTTCCCTCTCCAGAACTCCAGGTACTGCTTATACAATCGAGAAATCTCACTGACGTCATATTGCACTTCCACGTGATTTATCGTCTGCTTTGATTCCTGGTGCACATATTCAATGAGTATTTGATTAATACAGGTTAGAGTCTGAATCTTATGAAAAATGAGATCCATCAAATCACTGAGGTTCTTAACCACCACGAATTGCTTCTCAGCATGTTCCTTGATGGCGTCTCCAAGTTCCTTGAACAGGTCAATCCGTAACGAGGACGCCATGAAATCTTTTGAAACTTGTCCCTTCACGAGATCATCAAACAAAGTTTTATACAACATAACCTGAAAGTTGTGTTGTTTTCTTTGAGCCTTGGGAGGTAAGCTTAATGACTGGCGTGTTTTCAGTTCCAGTAAGTCGATGGTGTAGTTCGAAGGATCGAATCGGAGCTCGTCAATTAGTCCCACCACAAAGATATTCTCTCCAAATGGATTCCCAAATACAGGTACTTCCCTCGCTACTTTACCTCCGTGAAGAAAAGTGACCAAAGCCGAGTGCAGGTTTAACATTTTAATTGCCCATATATCCTCACTAGACTGCACCTCAACCTTAACTATATCATGAGTCGCTAATTCTGAAAGTAGGAAAATCACAGAATTTAAGCATACTTATCATTCAAAACAATAACTTAACTGTTTTAAAATGTTCATTAATTTAATAAATCCAGGGCTTTTGATTTGGCCAAAAAAATATATTCGCTTAAACTTTTAAAGACATTTGAAAATTCCCTCTTTCAAAGCAATGTTCTACAGTAACTCTACATGCTACTCTGCACTTGCAGATAATTTTAAAGAGATAATTGGCTAGATGCTGTAATTAATCCTACATGTACTATCAACCAGTGGCTTCTCTTGAAGGAAATGAAATAGTAACATACGCACAACAAACTTATGAATCAGATTGTAAATTTTTTTGTAAAACATCTTTCTCTATTTTTTACTAGATTTCCAAATCGTATCGCCAGATTTATCACTGTTTCGTCAGTTTTTATAACTGCTGGGTTTGAGATCTTTCTATTATTGATACGGTGTTACCTCTTGCCAGGTGAAGGTCAGTTCCAGCCGTCATTACGGGATTCTCCTCAGCTATGGTGGGTATTGTAAATGTGTAATACAGCTGCTGCTCACACCAACTCTGTCGTGTAAAATCTGTCACCCATAAATACCCGGGCCGGAACTTCTCTAAAGGAGACATATTTGTATCATTGGTAAAGTCTGGTTTGCTGTCTATAATTTTACTTATAACTGAAGTCGGTGCTTTTTCCTCGTTTCCCTTGTCACCTGACGTCATAGGACTGGGTCCTTTCTCGCCTGATATTCCAGAATGGCCGACTGCACTGACATTTTCTGTTTAATAATAAAACAAGCACATTATCTCTCGAGGTTTGTGATAGTAAGTGTTTTTAACCCCATTGATATATAACTCAATTTAATGAGTAACTTAATTCTAGAAATCTATCCATACTTTAAGGAACTACTAGTATGACCCTTCTGCTATAAATTTTACAAAAAATTTCCCTATACTGATTTTCATCAAGAGCTCCAGAACAAGAATTTGATTGATTGATTGATTGTGTGTTGTTTTGCGTCCCTCTCGAGATTTTTCACTCATATGGAGACGTCACCACTAGCCGGTGCAAATTTTGGCTTCTACTTGGCACTTTTATACATGGCAATTGAACAGGCAGGGATCTTTTTCGAGTCAGCACCTACTGCGACACGGGACCTCGGTTTATACGGTCTCATCCGTAGGACCGGTCTCCAGGTTCCACAGTGGGATTCGAACCAGCGACGTAAGGATCAACTCCTTACTTCGTGACTCTAGAACAAACGCTCTAACCACTGCGGCTTTTAAATTTGATTCAAATGAAAAACAATATGAGAGGTATGAAGCGTTCTTTTTTAATGTCTGACCATGATACCAGGAAATTTTATCAATGAGAATAGGAATTTTTTTATCGCAACAGAAAATACGTTATGTTTTTTTTTCTCTCTCATCAGAGGGTCAGTTCCCTTTCACTGGCCCTGGCTCTGGACTAATGTACCTGTAATATAAAACAAAGGAGCTTACCAGTAGTACTTTTGGTTGTCGGAGAATCATCCCATTCAGAGAACATCTCTGTCAAAACGCTTTCTTCAAAGATGAAAGTCTCCTGTGATGGAGAGCCCATTTCTCTTTTTCTGCTTTATTTCAAATACATGGACTTATAGTTTTTACAATATATTCCTGTAATGAAAAGAGAATTCGATGTCATATTTTTTTCAGTACCTAATATAAGGATGCATATTACATAAACTTAAACCAAAATTGATGCTGGATAATTTATTATTTTTTTTCCTATATATTTCATTGAAAACAACATTTCGTAAAATCACTTGAAACGGTGACATTTCCTGACAGATTTTACCACAAATTTCTTGATAAAGAAATTCGATGTTATATTTGATAAAAACAATATTTTTTTTTACTAAAAAAAAAAATTGTAATTCAAGTACGACATGAAAAATGAATTCATATACACAATATGAATTATACGTTTGAATTTTAGAACTGAAGTGAACTTGTGATGAAATTTACGAAATATAACTGTAGAAGTTTTGTATATCCGAAAAATAGACCAAGTAAAGTCATATAAACAAAGGCAACTTCAGAATGTTTACACACAAACACCCACACCCTAACACCTTTTGATAACTCGGAATAGCCCTGAGTAAAACTGCAATTTGTTCATCACGGAATGTCCAGTACATCTAATATCTACGTCCGGGATTGTCCACGGCGGTTCTAAAACTGACTCCCTCACACAACAAATGGTATTCACTCAAACTTCAATTAACACATCAATTTACGCAATTATCATATACGTACTAGTCAGGCACTCTTAGAGCCAGAGGATAATTGACACTAATTCCTTAAATATTAAATAGCATTTCTTTTTTACCGTCTAAGCATTAATTGTTGCATAAATAATTTAATTTGCATATGTCAAAAATAAGCATTAAAAATAATTATTTACAAAAAAAATTAAATTCTGTTACATTGTAAATAATTTTTTTGTAAAATATACTTTGTGACACAGTGATGAACTACTTTTTATCTATTAACTAAATATGTAATAATGTTTTAGAAAAAGATAACTATATATATTTTCTGGATTACTTAAAAAAATCAACAGCTTAAAAACTTACGACTTTTCTACTTTATACAACAACCATTCCCAACGATAAATTAAAACCCAGGTTTTTTCGATATCATTGACAGCTGCTTTTTCAATGAAAATGGAACTCGTAAATTTACTAAGCTTGTTATTGGTCATTTGCAAAATTATTTTGCAAAAAAAAAAACATTCTGGTTGTACACACATGTACTCTGAAGTCGACATCAAAAAGATGCTTGAGTTTCTGATTGACAATATCTATGTTGTTTTTGGAGACCAGGTCTTCCAACAATCTATTGGAATTCCCATGGGTACCAATTGCGCCCCATTATTAGCAGACCTATTTTTGTATTCATATGAAGCATGAAAAGAAGAAAACCCTCGCTGTGGCCTTCAACTCGACATTTAGATATATCGACGACGCACTGTAAGTTAACAATTGTAATTTCCGTTCTTATGTCGATACCATATACTTAATATATCTTGGTGAACTTGAGATAAAAGATACCACAGAGTCTGACACATATGTTTTATATTTAGATATTTTACTTGAAAAAGACGTTAACGGTAATCAAACAACCAAGGTCTATGATAAACGTGATGACTAACTTTTCTATCGTCAACTTCCCTTTCTAATGCAACAATACCTTCATCACCTGCATACGGAGTTTATATATCTCACTTGATTAGATACACAAGAGCATGCTTTACGTATAAACAATTTCTACAACGAGGTAAATTGTTGATAAACAAGTTGATGAAACAATAATTTTAGCAGGCTTGTTTAAAGTCATCATTCCGTAAGTTCTATGGTCGCTACAATGACCTTGACATTAAGTCAAATGCTGACTGGCGTTTTTCATACTAATTGTTAGTCCATTATTATACACTGCATTGACGACGGATTTTCCCGTTATTTCCCGATCATGAGAAGGAGCACGCGGCGGGTGTGACCGGTCAGCAGGGGATGCTCACTCCTCCAAGGCACCTGATCCCACCTCTGATCGATGTTTTGGAGGTCCGTGTTTGCTCTGCTCCTATTTTGTATTATTTTATGGACTTTTGATCTGAAATACTTTTCGTTATCCAGGGGCGTCGACAAGTATTTCACATTGGGGAGGCGAACTACATTGAAAAGGGGGGGTCCTGGCTAATTTTTTGTGTCATAAACATAATTAAAATTTCTGCAAAAATATTGATATTTTACTCCTTCCTGTCAATAGCCTAGAGGTATAGTACAATTAAACATGCAACAACAACCAAAAAAAATTTTCACAATTGTTTTTAAGTTACATGTTCAAATCTATATATAAAAAAAATGGGACATTTTAAAAAGTTGTGGGATAGTTTTTATTTATTTTCGGAACACATAGAAAGATCTTTGGAGGGTTTATAATGAGATAAATATTAAAATACATATATATTTTTATTATTGCATAATTTGTGACTTGCCGAAAAAATGCATATTATGAATTTTCAAATGAACAGATTGAAAAATCATTCATAATCCCTCCATTATTAGATATAAGGTAATATCTCCATATGTTTCATACTGAAATAAATAATGAAATTGGATAAAAATTGACCATTTGCCAGCGATTAAACTTTATGTGATTTTCAATAAAATTGATGAGAAAAAAAACCCTTGACTTTAGTCACACATCTGTAGTTTACTGTCTTTTGCACTCCGGAATAATATGAATAACACATCTACCGATCTCCAAACTATTAATAATAAGAATATTCAATATTTTTTAAAACTATAACCTCTGAAAAATACATCTCGACTAGTCACTAAACAGTGCATATTACTGTAATGGGCAGATAACTCATGAGTTACTACTCATGGTTCATATAATATATTTTATGAAGATCTCACCATCTGGACTCACTGACGATTTGGGGAAAAAAACTTTGTGTTTGTAGCTTCATATTTTTCTAAAACTAACAGAGAAAGATCTTACCTTACTCAACAATTGGATATGTTCTAGACAGAAGCATGATAAGCTTGAATTATCTGTTATGAAAGCGATGGTCTCTTTGTTGGGTCTTTCTCATGGGATTCTTTTTTATATGTTCAGTATTACTATAGATATAATAGAAAAACTGTATCTCGGTAAATTAAATTTTGATAAATATAATGTAATAAATAAATGGTTCAATGCAAAAACTGGATGTCATTTCACTTTAAATAACAGATCTGTATAATTGTGCTAATCTGATCCTATTTTCTTTAAATAGCCTAACCATAGAGTGAATTGTGGGATATGTCCTGGTAACCAAAATATCCTACCACAACTTCCGCTCGGTATTTTGTGCTATTTTTCTCGTTCACAGAAATTTATCTGCTTAATTCTTGATAAAGTTATATTCCAAAAGGTTAATATGCAACGTGTGTTAGTTTTTAAGCACTAAGAAATCTCCACAGAAGCTGACAGTGGTGTTATATCACGCGGATGCGTAGTTTACATTGTATGCGTTAAGTGGTCAATAAGCTTGAAGGAATTTTCAAAGGAAATGGATAATAAACAGACTTCAAAGAAATCTAAAAAGAGTGTAACAACAACCGATAAAAATAATAACAAAAATGGCAGTAAGAAGAAAAAGAAAAACAGGAAATCTGCAAATAAATCGGACAATAAAGACAGCGACCAGAGCCCAGATACTTTGGAAGTCGAGGGACTAGGTGCATTGGATAACACGCAAGGTAACTTTCAGGTCTTAAACCATGCATTTAACACGTGTTCAGGGAATCATTAATTTGAGCACATTATTTGTATTTTTGCAATTTTGCATCTCATGGAATTAGGAAATTCAGTCAGCCATTCAATGAACATTTTCAACTAAAAGTTTAAGAAAAATTCCTTGGGGTCTCTATCTTACAGCTGTCTATAGGGGCATCATATCTGCTCTGTTCTTTATTACACATATAACTCTACACATATATTTTTTATTTGTGCAATAGAGAACAGCTAGAGCAGATAGTATGCCCGTATGACCTCCCCTAATACTATGTGTCTGACAGATGCTGTCTGTTTTTGAATTTCATTTGATGCTGAAAATATTTGACAGTTTTTGCTGTGTCACCAACAAAAAAAATATGAAAGATAATTATGTTCTGTTTAGACTGAAAAAAAAAATTAAGTGTATAAAATTGTTCAATAACTCTATTTTCCTGTGCAAATTGACATTTTAGTTCCATAAAAATAACAAGAACTTGTTCATAGTTTTAGCTTCTTTTTTTGCTGTGGACTTCAAATTAGCAAATGCATATTAACATGATTAATGACATCTTCTATCATATCTCAAAATAAAGAACATGTTTATTACCATGTAACCAAAATATAGCAGTTTGTGATTACTGTTTAGTAATCTATCTCACTGGATATCTTATGAGATTTGAAGCAGAATATTAGATTATGAGAGATAAAATATTAATTTCAGATGTACGTATGCCATCCTTAATTTTCTTAAATAAAATTATGCTTGCCATTAAATTTGGTTGTTAATTCATATATGTGTCAGCGAAATTATTGGGGATGGAATAGTTAATATTTACATATGCAAAATGTAAATGTTTTAATTCCCTGAAATAATACTTCTACTTAAACAAGGTACCGGTACATTTAAGCCTGTGTATATACAGATACAGACACGTGCCATAAGTATTCGGTCAACATGGCGTTTTGTTTACGCTTGAAAACAAAAGTGTCAAATTTCAAACATTCGCTGTAATGGAATAAAGTAATAGAAAATAAAAATTATGTTAAACTTACTTGTTAATACTTCGTAAGATGTCCCTTGAGCCTGATTACATTCAAAATTCTGTTTGATATGGACTTATAGAGGTTCTGAACATAGTTAGGTCGGATGCTTGTCCAAATGCCCCGAATTTCCTCCACGAGATCGTCTTTAGATTTAATGAAGGGAATGCGTGTCTGAAGTTTTCTTTTTATCAATAGCCAAAGGTTTTCAGTAATGTTAATATCAGGCGACTGGGCAGGCCAACTTATGCAATTTATTCCATT